AGTTTTAGAATCTGTAACATCTAGGTGCGCCAAAGTGCGCCGAGGATTGCTTATAGGTCATGACAAAGACAAAGTCGTATATAGGTAAATTTGATACCTTATAATTTTCATTTCTTTTATTCTGTAGGATCCATCATCAAGTATTCTTTTCCTCGAATGCTTGTCCTAGACACGTGGTTGAATGCGACAAGTAAAGAAAATGAGGCAGATAGATCTCGTGAAGTGTTTGAAATGCTAGCAAATTCTTTACCGGACACTGAAAATATCAAGACCGATTACTTAAGAGATTTAATTTGTAATCTCTGTAAACGGTTTGCTGCATATTGGAAGAAACTGGGGAGGTCAAAAGCTAAGCTGATTGCCAAATACGGTGACTGGTTAAATGAGATCGAAGTCTGCATTCTTGGGAGCTCTGACGGAGAACTACATGAAAACGACGACGAGACAAGCGAATATCTTCAATCTACAAGCAGGACGCAGCACAGGAAGGAGTTTGGAGAATGCAGCAAGAGAAGCAAACGTCGCAGGTTGGCAATTTTATCTCAAATAGATGATTCTGCTATAAATACTTTACTTAGTGATTCCAATCAATCAGCCGACAATTTCTTAAAATTCAACTCTGATGAAATCGTTTCATTTATTACTGAAGCTAAACTAACTAAACATCAATACATTTTATTAAAAAACTTGATTAATTCTAAAATACCAAATGCTTTTCCATGTTATCAAAGAGTGTTGGAAGCCAAAAAACGTTGCTACCCAACTGAATTATAATGTTTTCCTATTATGTAAAAAGACGATGTTTTATATAAATCCTATGTTCAGTTTTCTATTATCTGGTAAATTTTATTATTTATATGTAAATTAAGCTATTTTCAGAAATCTATATATATAAAAATGAAACCCGTTCTTCGTTGTCACGACATAACATGAAAATAATGTATAAATAAAACTTATTTTATTGCTACCTATTATTTATTAGTACGGATGGATCCTTTTTTTTGAGAATATACATCTACCTTTTTAAAAATATATCTATTGTTTTACTTGTTATTATCATTAAAACCTTAAAACAATCATTTCTAAGATAAAAAAGTTAATATTTCATTTTTAATCCGACATACAACCTCTATGACCGCCTTTCTTAGGAACATGGACCACTGTGCAATGGTTGTATGTTTGATGGCTATGTATCTCTATGATTCTTACAGTGCCACATACTTTTCTTGGCCGGTAAGAGCGTCGCTGTCATGAATATTAGTATTGCCAGTAAATAAAAACTAGCCATTATAAGGGAATAATTTGAAGTCATGCAGGCTAACTCAATAATTTATTGAAATGTCTTAATAAAACAATGTATACTTTTTATTTTTCATGTATCCTTTTTTAGTTCAGTTTGTTTTTTGTTCCTGTTTAGTTTTTGTCTTAATAACTATATGAAATTTGTATTTTTGCACTTCTTGCATACCTTATCTAATTTAACACATTTTTTTTTCACTGTGGTTGCCCTTCTTTTCATTTAATTATGTTCAATTTTTGAAGTGAAACTTCTTTATCGAGGTTGGAAAAAAAATTAGTGTAACATTTTTTCGTTACGCGTCACATTTTTCGGTTACGCGCCATGTTGCTTTTTGAAGTTAAACTTCTTTATCGGCGTTGGAATGAAACTTCTTTATCGACGTATGGGAGAAAAATCGTCACGTTTTTCAATGATAGTAATAATTATATTACAATTAATGAAATTCTATAATAATCTTCGTAGTAATAAGGTAAAATGAAATATTTGTATTCATGTCTATGGTAATAAAAGCCTTTTGTTAAACTTTATCTAATTTAACGAATTTCTGTAAAGTTGCATATAGTAGATCATTTTTCGAAAAATAAGATCATAAAGAAGTTTCACTTCTTACGTGTGTACACCTAGTACACGCACAATTTATTATATTATAATGCAACGAAGTGTTAATAAATAAATGAAAATATACTAGTATCTAGAAAATACAGTTCTAGGCTTTAATAAATGTGACTATAACTTAGGAACAACTGATATTGTAGGTTTTGTTACCTGTACTATTAATATAATATTGTTACGAAGACGGGTCGACTGCAATGTTTCTCGATTTTTCCACTAGTTAGAGAAGTTTTCAGTTTCAGGAGATGCTCAATCACATATTAGAAAATCGTAATTTACATAATGTTACCCTAGTTTTCAGAAGGCTGAAACATTTTTTCAGGCCGTTTCAGAACAAGTGTAGTCGAGTGGTACACTTTTCAGGAAACCCGTTTTCAGGCGTTTTCAGGCCTGGTTATACCACTTTGATGAAGGAATATTCTAGAACGAATTTCCTAGGTGTGGGACAAGGACGGTATGATGCGCGAGAGAGAGGGAAGATCGGAACCTTCTCGAAGCTAGACTCTAGAACGCCGTACGACAAGGACGGAGCTATGTGCGATAAGAGATAGCGAGTACGCACGTTCTAGAATTGTGCGATCGCTACTCACTTACTCAGTAGCGCTCCCGCCTAGAGAGTTCTCGAACATCGTTCCCAGGGATATATAAGCGAGCCGAAACGCTACCGAGGAGTTTCAGTTTCGAATGCGATATCAAGATATAAACACCGAAGAGACAAAGTGCGAAGAAAAGTGATAAAGTACTGTGTGAAGTGCGTGTAATTAAAGTAATTAGTGACAGTATTTTGCGTGTAAATTTAGTGAATTTTTGTGCGTAATTTCCAGTTTTTAGTGTCAACAAATTCCTCGTAGATTTAATTGAAAATAAACCCTTGAAGAAATCTACGGCGTTTTCTATCCGATCCCCTAGCTCGTAACAATATCTTTAAAGATAACTAGCAATCAGAACCGTTCGATAATTATTTAAAACATTGCTATTGTAATTAATAATACAAGGAATAAAACTAAATACAGTTTAGTTGGATTTTTATTAGATATTGGTAGACAGTAAAATTATTTATTGTACGCACCAAAATGGCGACGGTAGTACCGATTTCAGCCGCCGCCCAAGAAAACTGTACTTGACTTATAACCTAAGTACAGTAAACTTCTGTTTGTCAAAGTTTGGACAACTATTATCATACAACATACATAACATAGGTTTTAAACATTCGTACTTTGTACATATTAGCTAATTTTAATATTAATTAAGCATTTATGATGGCTTTAAAATATATGACTATTGCTATTGATGGTAACCGCTTTCAGACGATAAATAATTATCGTCTGAAAGCGGCAAATGCAAGACTCACTCATAACGTCTATATATATGTCTAGGAATGTGGATTAATTATTATATTGTTATCCTGCATGGAAAACAATTACATTATATTGATAAATACCCGTTAGACAGAGGATAATTTGTTTTACAATTACAATCATAACACAACAATGAAGCTATACCGGAATATGCTTAAAAGGTATTAAGAATACCCATACACACTCCACATACATACCCTCATTTTCACACCATCACACAAGACAGCCAAATAGGTATTACTTAGTTAAATGTATTTAATATTTTTGTTTTTCCTTTTGTAAATGTTTGGCTATATCTTTAGTATAATTGATTTTTGTTATATATAATTTATGTTAGCTGTAGTATTACGAAATAAATAAGAGGCGTAGCGTAGTGGCCCGGGCGGCAATTTTTCGCTGGCTGCCAAATTTCACAATAAATTATACCGTGTGAACCGTTATGGTATGGTTATATATAAAATAAGCATATTACTTTTTTTTTTTAAGACAATTCACACCAATTGACCTAGTCCCATGCTAAGCTGGTGAAGCTTGTGTTATGGGTACTAGGCAACGGATATACATACATATTATAGATAGATAGACATATAAATACATATTTAAACACCCAAGACCTAAGCACAACACCAAATGCTCATCACATCGATGTTTATCTCAGCCGGGGATCGAACCCGGGACCCATGGATTCGCAGTCAGGGGTACTAACCACTAGACCAATGAGTCGTCAATTGGTTGGATACCTGCTGGTACTGCTTCATAAGGCAATCAAACTAGACAAAATCAACTGGTTGCTACTTTATTTTTATTTTTAAAAGAAATCAACTTTGACGTAGGGACACTGTTTGGCTGTATGTTCATTATTTATTTTCTTATAAAGAATAACGTAAACTATATAGTTCCAATATTTGTAAATTTTTTAGCACCATGTATATCACTACATAGTACATATAAAACAAAGTCGCTTTCTCTGTCCCTTTGTATGCTTAAATCTTTAAAACTACGCAACGGATGTTGATCCGGTTTTTTTTAATAGATAGAGTGATTGAAGAGGAAGGTTTAAAATAATGTACTGAGTATTGTACACATTGAATAGGTCTACAAAAATCTCCGCGATGGTATATGTCTATCTCTTATGGATATCCCACAATAAAAAATTTTGTCATTTACTTTTTACGACGAATAATGGCTACAGCATTAATCCTTATCCAATTAAATACCTTAAATACATTGTTGATTTAATATTGATCTATATGGCCCTTTACAGCATATGATTTAAATGAATATTTTCGAAGATATTACAAATTTAAAAATTGCGGGGCGCAGCGCGTCGGAGGCCGCGGTTCTCCCTATACTCTATAGCACTTTGAATTTAGTATCAGCATTGCATCCGTGCCACGCCGCGCCGCCGCGCCGGGGCGGGTCGCTACTCGCTAGTACTATATATATAATAATTTAGTTATCTGCTGCATTGTTTTTTATCACACCACGCCCTATTTTATTTTAGTATAGTAGTTTTCTTTATTCTAGGTACATAGTCTTCACATATAATTATCAAATCAATGTATACAAAATAGTAAAAACTATTTAAAAAAAAGTATGGAGTTTCTTTCTCCATATGACACTACCTTTTGGAAGGGGCAACTAGTCATTTTTATAATATTGCCTTTAAAGTGCCTTTTTAATAGGCCTAAATGAAATAAATGATTTGTCTATGACTTAAAAAAAATCACTCACCGTATTCCACACTCCATAAACATTAGAACGAATCCATAAAGCATACATCTGGCGGCGTAGGCTTTTAAAATAACTCTTAGGAGGCTGGGTGTTCTTTTCCCACCGGCGCTGGCTACTTCCTCTTCCCATAGACGAGCGAACTTGTCACCCAGAGGACCTGCGTATCACAGAAGAATTATATATATTTGAAGTAATAATAATAATTATTTATTTATTGCAAGAATATGGTACAAAATGTTAAGGTAACACAATCGTAAATCGTTCGCATATAATTCTGCCACACACGATGGCGCGCAAATTTGTCTTAAGGAATTTTACATTATTAGTCAAAGTCAATTCTTATATTATCTAGTCTATTATACAATATACATTACATCATTAATTTTATATCAATTACGGTGTTTCACGCAAATACTCATTTATTGAATAGTAAATTTTTTCTAAAAGTAATACACTAAGTCGCTTTTTAAAGAATCTAGACGGAAGATCTTTTAATTCTTTTGGTAATTTATTGTTGTTGGTGAAACTTCTTTAGGCGTATGAGGATAAAATTTAAAATTAGCGTCACGAAGATGTGCAGCGTTTTTGTCGAAGAAAAGGGAGAGAGCTATAGAGAGAGTGAGAACCTTATAGAAATTCTATTTTTAAAATTAAAATTTCGTAAAGAGAATTTATGAAATATTAGTATTTTATATTTTATGCAAAATAATTTATTGAAATCTCAAGTGACGAATTGTAAATTAAAATGCCACGTGTTTTTATTACCGAAGAAATAAATTTAAAAAATTAAATTTATAATTTGTAATAATTTTCGACACTTAATATTTTAATGAAAATTAAATTCCTAACATGTCTTCCTTTTCCCCTACCTCTAAGTTTTGGAATTATAAAGTTATACATTTGTATAAATATGAAAAAGACTTAAAAATTTAATAAAACACAATTTTGACCGGATTGAAGTTATGTATTATTATAAATTTACAACTATTTAACATAATTTTAAATTTATCCGACGTTCAATCCGGTCAAAAAAGTGTTTTATTAAATGAATAAAAGTTATGTTAATCAAAGACAATACTTAAAAATTTGTTTTCCAAAGAAGTTTCACTTCTGACATGTGTACTTTGTACGCACGCACTTTTGTTTTTATATAAAAATATATAGCCTATCAGGCACGCAATCAGGCACATTTGTGACCGAGAAACTAGGCAACAAGGAAGTGTCGAAACCTCCCCTTTAGGGACTTTATCAACTTGAAAGGCCCGGGTGACTACTACTCCGAAAATATCCTCATAATATTTATGGGCGAGTCGGGGCCCGCTGTCCGCGTTAGTGACATATTTGATAATCTTGATTTGGATATTACAACTCTATATGCTGACTGTCTAAAAATTTACCACCAGTTCTCCAATCAAGGGCAGAAGAACTCCGCCACGGCTTTTAATTGCCAACTATTTTATTTTACAGGATACTTGTAAAGACCTGCAGCTTACTCTGTAACTTTCAATAACGAACAGCGATAATTGGAAGTTACATAGCGTCACTGTAGAATGATAATCTCGTAGGACAAAAAATCATTAATTTTTTATTCTTATCTTCTTGTCTCTTAACTGGTATAATCATGAAGTAAGGACTTATTTATGTTATAAATAAATAAGTTATTTTTAACATCCAAAACTAAGGAACTAACACATAATAATATTTTAACGAACATAGAAAAAACATTTTCGTTTCCTGTAAAGTTTGGTTCTCTGGAAATACGAGGTTATCATTCTACAGCGACGATAGTAAGGGCGCTGTACAGTTCTCATATATTCGCTGACAGTGCTTTGATAGAACTCTTTTCCGTCGAGTTTTAATAATACCTAGGACTTATACCTTTTTGTCAAATCAAGTAAAACTGACTCGTTGTCACACTGGATTTGAGAAGAGTAGGTATCATAAATTATTCCATGTCATGTGTCAGTTTATTTAATCAAAAGAAATAATAAATACATAAGATGTCACTCTCTGCGAACATATAAATATGTCGATAGTGTCGGAGACAGTATTCAGTAGGCGCAACGTCTTTGGGGATTTGTGCAACAGACTGGTTCTGGCCCTTGGCTTCGCAAACAACCTTGGCCTTTGCCGTCGCACTCGACTGTGTATTGTTTAATGGTTGCAGCATCCGATACATATCCAAACGTTTTTGTATGCTAATTCAAGGTGTTCTCAATATTCGGAGAGCTGATAACGCAACCTTGGGATCGCAAAACAAAAACTCCTTGAGAGCAGGATCGCTTCAGGAAATTACAAAAAGGCTCTGACCTTCATCACAAAACTAAATTGCTATTTTAGTACGAAAACGTCTGCATTACTTATTTTACCGCGTATACATAACGTAGGAGAGCAGTGCATCAGCAGCAGGCATCTCTGAGGTCGTAGATTCTATCCCCGGCTGTTCACCAAAACGTTTCTTAAGCGGGCCATAGTCGGTCTTGACTGCAACATGCGGTCCGTCTATGGCCCGCTTTTCTATGCGTATTTAACATTCGCTCGAATGCTGAAGGAAAACATCGTGAGGAAACCACGACCCAAAGACCCAAAAACGCGACTGCGTGTGTCAGACACAGGTTGCCTATCAGATTGATAAATGATCATGAAACAGATATAAAAATCTGAGGACCAGACCTAAAAAGGTTCTAGCGCCACTAATTAATTTATTTCGTTTTATAGGAGTAATGGCGCTGGTATCAGCTGCCATTTTCATTATAATTTAATAACATCAAAGTCAAATTAGTTAAAAACCGAAATATGGTTTATTTGATTTGCCAATATTAATAAATCTACAGATTGACAGACTTTTTGATAGTCTGTAGTAATATATTGTTAGATCTATAAATTAACGACTATTCAATGGTCGAGAATAATAATGAGTTCATAGTCATTATTATTATTATTTAAAATTATAATAAATAACTTTTATTAAAAAAGTCTGTTAATCTGTAGATTTATTAATACTGGCAAATCAAATAAACCATATTTCGGTTTTAAACTAAGTTATTAAATTATATTTAAAATGGCAGCTGATACCAGCGCCATTACTCCGACATACATGAACATAGCATTTATTTATTTATAAGTTCTAAAACAACGTGTATGCATAAAATTATACAAGAAATGACATCACAAATTTTACACACATACACAACAATTATATTAGAACATAAGCAAGCTACCAAGGGAAATTAAACTAGCAACCACAAAATAAACAAAAAAAAAGAATAATAATAATAACTAAAACTAAATAGAAACTTTAAAAAAAAAGAAACTTAAACCTCATCATTAATTAAAAATCATGATAAACAAAGTTGGAAGATTCTAATTAATGTTTTCGTTATAGCAAAAAAATATATGTTGCATTCCTAGAAACATAATTGTTGTCTAGTCAACTGTCTCGGAATGTTTACTCTAGTGTAAATTAATAGTGTTGTAATCCGTCCTTCTAAAGGCATTTTTACATCATACAATATATATATTATTAATTAATTGATTTAATAAAACAATTTTTAACCGGATTGAAGTTATGTATTTACAATTATTTTACATAATTTTAAATTAGAGATTTTATGGGATCCAATAATATCCAAATTAAAATCTCAAGATAAACAATCCGCGAAAATAGAGGTAAATTATAATAAAAGTGACAAAAATTGTCATGTCATGTCAATGTGAAATTTAACTTTAACTTTGTTCTAATAAAAAGGTAAACGCCAATAACCGTCACAAAAAGTTCCAAGATTGTTATACTCTTTGTAAGATTTTTTTTAAATAGAACTAGTCAGAGCCGCAATCCTACCAAATATCAACGGAGATGCGGCCTATTGGAGGGCACGTCTGTCCAGGTGATGCCTATTTAGCCGCCGCTTAAACGAACCCATGTTTATTTATTTATACTTTATTACCTTATACAAAAACATACATATAAAAAAATTAAAAAGCCAGTTACATTAGTTATAAGGCAACGGGCGGCCTTATCGCTAACAAACGCTTTCTTCCAGGCAACCCTAATGTGGAACAATAAAAAAGAAACACCTACAGAGGGTAAAGTACAAGAACACACGTACGTAACTATAACTAAAATAAAGTAAAATCTAAAGAAAAAATAATAATAAATAAAAATATGTATAAACAAAAGATTTGAATGCCAATCAAAAGGTTAACTAAGTCACAATAATTAATATTTATAAGTAGTAGCTAATTACGAGGCAGAAAAAAAGCTTTTTAAATAAATTTAAAGACTGAGCTCGTCTGATATCAATTGGTAAGGAATTCCATAGCAGGATACTTTGCACAGTAAAATGAGGATTAATAGAATTCAGTTTTATCTAATTCTTGAAACTCCTACTCGAGTTTCAAGAATAAGATGTTATAATCTTTAGGAAAGATTGACGGGGAAAGTAGTTCCGTTCCTTCGCTATTTTTACAAACGAGGATCCAAATTGTATAGTGCGGCCCAAGGAGGAAACTCCAGCGTGCTTTGAGCCGCGCCTAGTTTAAAAGTCCATGCGTCGGGTTCTCTCTCTCCCTAAAATATGGCGAGGGGGCCGATGGCTGGCCATGCGTCATACTCGTGAACGGGTGCTACTTGTGGTGACTGGTCGTACTTGAATTCGTGTATGCGGTGATGTTAATTATTTCGACTATGTGTTTGCGTGTTGTTCCCACGAGAATGTAAGTGCGTGCTCCTATTTCACCATGCCTCCTGCTGATAGAGGACTACTCTTTGTTTTTAATTTATGTTATTATTATTAATTACTTAAGATGTCATGTGGAACATGGTTTAGTGGTTGCAGCTCCTTACAAACGTTGTGTAAAAAAAAAACATGGCGATTAAAAAGAGTGGCGGAGAGTTTATTGCCAGTTCTTCTCTTCCGTTCTACGCCCTTGATTTGAGAACTGGCACTAAATGTAAAATTAGAAGCATTAATATAGTCCGCGCCACCACTCATTGCCGACGGGAACCTTGGAACTAAATTTGTCGTTACAGTGAAATATTATTTTATTCGTTTTAAGGTAAAAAATTTGAAGCAAATCATGGAGACTAGTTCGCGAATTTCATATTAATTTATGTTACGTTGGGGTAAATTAGCCTTGCACCTAGCAGTAGCAACATATTACTACGCCACGCTACTCGCTACCGCCACTTCTATCGGCATTCAGTGGTGGCGCGGACTCTATGTATTTCTTTACTGACAAGTCATAAGTGTACAATGTGTTACCTATATGATTAAATGATTTTTGAATTTAAATTATAGAAGAGTGAGAGGCAACTGAACGGCGATTGTCTGGACATAAAGAGTTGCTTAGCTCGCCTCTCAATAGCATCCAAAACAGATGACAATTGGCAGCACTGATGTGTTTGCAGTGCTTTACAGACTTGAGCTTGATAAAGATTTAGGCTGTCCAGTGAGAACTGTCTGACTTTAGCCAAAATACTAGTTAGTAAGAACTCACAATTATTTGTATTGATTTCACCGAAGCTAAGTAATATAACACCTACTATCTGCAAAAATTAGGAAACTCTTTCGATATTCATATTTTGAAATGCTTTTAATTTTGTAGTCTCGCGTCCTAATCTGGTATCTGGATTTTTCTGAGTCTGAGAAATTTATTACTTCTCTTATTTTACATTCTCAACGGGTTGTACTTTGAAATAAAGAGTACTGTTGGTGTCACCATGGCAACACAAAAACATATACTTTATATAAACATATATTTAATATAAAAAATGTAGCTTACCTGATGCATGTTCTTCTAGCGGCTCATACAGATCATTTTCATCCATCTCCTTCTTCAAACCACCCCAGAAGATTGGTAGGGTCCATCTAAAAGTTTTAGCATTTAAATTATTGAATCCAAAACAGTGTTAACTCATAAACAATATGTTATAAATCCCAGCTGTCATTCATTTCATGGCAGAAAAGATCATCAGTATTTTGGTAATACATACAAAAATACTTTAGGATTTATGAACTATTTTTCTAAATATGACAATAAGATTATTATACAAAATAAGATGTCTAATATTTGTCATTTTCTAGTAACCGGTATCTTAAACACCAAGTAATCACACAGCATCATAAATTTAATCATTATTAGCATACAATAAACAATAACATTACTTATGTATAATGTACATTGAAATTAAATCACAGAGCTGCTAGCTAGCCAGCTAGCTGAGTAGCTTTATTATATAAAAATGGTATATAATAAAAAATGTAGACAAAACTACGGGAGACTTTTTAAATATACTAAATTTATATTTTTTTCAGTTGAATATATGTGGTAACAAAATGCATATTATATAATTGAAAAAATTACTGTAAAATTCAGAAATTGAATAGATTTGTATTTTAGGACTTATTATTTATGGTTTTTGGACTCAAATTCATTAGTTATAAACTCATATATTATTACAGTTGTTGCAAATTTATACTAAAGATTTACTTGACATTATAACTAATTTATTCACATTACAGTACTTTAAATTATTAAACTATATCTATAAAAATACTTACGCAAATGTGAGGGCAGATAAGGGATTTGTTTTGGCCCGAGGATGAGGTGGCTTTCCTTTCTTCTTTGGAGACTCCATTATTTAACTATTGAATTTAATAACAAAATTTATTTTACCTATCAAAACTGTCAACCATAACAAATATAGTTATGAATTATGAATACTGTAGTCACTCATTATGTTATTATTATATGAAGTATTTCATCTGCAGTTTTCTCATGATTAGATCGCAGAAAACCACAATATTAATTTTATATATAATAGGAACATTTATTTATATTTACTAAAAAAAACTAAACGCCATCAAGTTAGATAAAATAATTCATAAATTATGAATAAAACGAATGAATAGTCAAAACTGTTCAAGTAAAATTATTTAATGATATACATAGTAAACGAACTACAAAAGGACTTACAATTCAATGTGGAGAGTTAAGATAGTAATTGTACGTTTTATATTGTAGGTTTCATAACTTTTTGGCAGCTTTGTCAAGCAAAAGCAGGTAAACACTTTTTGCAGAACGAAATCCCTAGAACGTTTCGTTTTTTTTATTTACCCTCACATCCACTATTATTTTTAAATACTTATATAAATTTTAACCACTTGTGTAAACACAATCGTACATCAAATAATTTCTCGATGGTAAAAAATTACGACTTTATCCAATTTTTTATAGTAATTATACCGGCACTACAACACTCACACAAGCGTTCCCATGCGCTTTTCTGTTTTGACTATTTCATTTTGATATTTGCAAAATTGAGGATGTCAAAAGAAAATGTAAAATAAATAATGTCAATGTCAAGCTTAAAAGAAATAAGAAATGTCAACAGTGTTGCTGGCAGGCTCTTTTGAAAAGTACCAGAATTATACAACGAAGTAGAAATACTAAATTAAATAATAAATAATAAAATAAAGGACGTTTAAAATAGTAGTTTTAATTTGATTTAAATTTGTCTTAACCTTCCAAGATAAATCGATTGGCGAATCCTATAGGGACCCCGAAAAATTATTAATTTTCAGTCATTATCCACATAGTGCCCTTTCTTTCTTTAAATCTCTACTGTAGAAGCATTACTTGTTCACATCATAGCCGTAACATAATTTCAGACGTAGCATTCAGAGCATCATTGCATTCCCAAAGAAAGATATGAGTAGCAATATAAAAGCCTAGCTAGCATTATTTGCGGTTATCAAAAGCTAAAACAACGATAATTCAAGATTGATAAATAAGTGTTTCAAAGTTTGGTAATTTATGGCGTATAAAAAAAATCCTACATTTCTCCTTCTGGCAACGCTGACTACAATTGAGTTAACCTGTGGATGGAATTGGCATTTGACTAGTGTTATCTAGTTTTGGATTTTGTAGGGTTGTTCTTTTTTAGCTTGATCCAATTTTCGATTTCTATCTAAAAAAATATATAGACTTAAGGCTGCGTCCACATCTGGCGAATCATTCCTTCCGCCCACGCCAGTAAACGGAACTGTAAGCGCGAGAACTGAGTGCACGCAGATCGCGCGCCTTTTACGAGCCTTGCATGTGTTGCGCTAAAGAGGCTCACCAAACCATTGCCGTGACTGCACGCGCGCAGCTCGCAAACGGCTCGCGAGCTGCACATTCGCGGCGCATTCGCCAGATGTGGACGCACCCTAACATATTTTATTACACATCACCTTAATATTATCAAATTGGAAGTGACCAACCGCTTGGATCAAATCCGATTTTGTTCGTTGAATTTGATCGTCGCGTCACTTGACATGTTGTTGTTTCTCCTAAGTCCTTAGTCTACGTAGTCTGTGGTTATTGTTAATTGTTATGTACAAAACTTAAATGTTTACAACTAACATCACAAAATATGTAAACGTGAATAAATTATAAATAATGTTAAAGGATTATTAAAATTATCCATATCAATATTAGTGACCAAAAAACTTACCAACTTATGACTAAAAATTAATTCAAAATTTTAATCATTATGATGGAATAATTACATGATGAATGTTTAAATAATTTGGAAGTATCTAGATAATATCTAGAGCACATTGGTTTATCAATATGTTAGGGATATATTATCTAAGAAAGTATAAAATCATGATACTTTTGAGTATACTGTTTTTCTATCTAGGTTGTGGTATCACTCTAAGTTTTATACGAATGGATTGCGTAGCTGCTTCACAGCAATTAGCAAAAGAAGCACCAAGTAAATTTGACAAAATAGAGTATGCAGTATTGGTTTTAAGTGGTCCAGAATATGAAGCAAAGAGAGATGCTATTAGGGCTACATGGGCTAACTTTGTGAGCAATATTTTTATTGAAAATGAGGTGAAATTGTATAAATGGAATCATACATGGGTTGGATATACTCCTCAACGAGATTTTATCAAAGTATTCTTTGTTGTGGGGACTCAAGGTTTGAGTGGAGTAAAGTTGGAGAGATTAAAAGCTGAACATACGAGATCAGATGATTTACTTCTTCTAGATAATTTGGAGGATAACTATAAAAACCTTGCTGTAAAATTAAAACATTCCCTGCAATGGGCACATGCACATTTAAAATTTCTAAAGTATTTAATTAAATGTGACGATGATTCTTTCCTTCGGGTTGACTTGATTGTTAAAGATTTGGAAGCATTTGCTCCAAACATGAATGACCCAGAAATACGTAGACATATTACCAAAAAGGTATAGCATATAGTTAATATATTCTATAATTATAAAAATGGTGCCTAGACCTAGAATGTTGGGAGAGTCTAATTTATTCTGACATTTAAACACATTATTTTCCTGTATAATATTGTACTTCCAAACTGTATCTAATATTATTTTTTAGCATTCATCAAATGAGTATAAAGGATTATACTGGGGTTATTTTGATGGACGTGCCAGAGTGTACCTCAATGGGAAATGGGAAGAAAAAGACTGGTTTCTTTGTGATACCTACCTCCCATATGCATTGGGAGGTGGGTATATTATATCCAAAAGTATTGTGGATTATATAGCTAGGAATGCTGACTTTTTAAGGTATTGTATTGTTGTTTTAAATTTTAATTATTAGTATGTGAAATAGGCCATTCAAGTATTAGATTTACTGCAATTTATCCCATTTCTCTTGTCAGCAAAAGTAAGCCAAGCTCTCAAAAATAATAGTACATAAACATATTATTTTTTTGTAGGAATCCTCGAAAATACATTTCGTTTTCAAGCATAGATAATGTGTGGGTAATATGTGTAAAAAAGTAAATAAATACTGTTGACGTGTGGGGCCTGTAGTGCTTATGTAATACTTGAACGGCCCCATAGACCCATCTAGTGGTAGCTTCTTTAATTTGAAATAATTTATTTATGTCTTTAATTTAAAACATAGTAATAGATTGCGCTTAGGCATTTGATTTAACAGATTGTAAATTTAGGCGGCTTAATCGGGGGGCCAGTTAACATATCAGTCATACTTATTTTTCAATGTTCATAAATTTTCAGTCATTACAACTCCGAAGATGTGTCAATGGGTGTCTGGACAGCAGCACTTGAAGGCATCAACAGAGTACACGATATACGCTTTGATACGCAATGGAAGTCTAGAGGCTGCGAAAATAATATGCTTGTGCGACACAAGCAAACACCCACCGACATGTTTCAAATGTATAGGACGCTGGTCCATTCACATGGGGAAAAATTGTGTAAGACTGAAAATTCTTTAAGGAAATATTACTTTTATGACTGGAATGTTTTACCGAGTATGTGTTGTAAATGAAATGGGACCCAAATAATACTCAATAAAAGAAAAAGTGCCTTTTATGGCACTAAGCATTATAAATTCAATTTACCAATGCAATAACTTCTATATTACCAACAAATTCAGACGTAGAATAGAAGCACAGTTCTTATGGGCGCTCTGAAGACAAAGTTTCTGTGACCCTAATTGCCGCTTGGCGGTGTGGCAGTCGCGCCAACGTATTCAGACGTAGGCTTAACTGAACAATAAGCTACAGGAAGAAGAGAGAGCGAGAGAGACGGAAATTCCCCCAGTTTATCATAACTACGAGAGCGAGAGAGACGAACCTTTCCCCAGTGTATCTTAACTACGAGAGCAAGAGAGACAGAGAACGACGCCAGCGCCGCCAATTACGAATTAAATTGTGGGCAGGTCCCACTTGGAATCGGCACATGAAATCCCTAACGTCTGCGCTTCTATCCTATTTCTGAATTCGTTGATATTACTACCCACGTATATTTTTTACGAATATAGTATATACAGTCTATTTTTTTATTGTGTCAAATTGGTAGATGAAAATGTCAAAGTCAGACTTTGGACAATTCAGAAATGCCTTGTCAATATTTAGTTTTTGACATTACATTATGAAACTCATCAGGGTCAGACAAATTGACTTTTCGACAGACATGATCCTCTAATAAACGAATTTCTATAAAAATGACATTAGGTTTAGGTCACGCTGTATCATGTGACCATTAAAATCCCTTTGACGGTAGTGTCATGCCTGTTGAAATGTGAATAATTCTCAAGACCCAGGATTAAATGTAACAAATACTTAACAAAATCTATTTTGACATTTCATAATGTTTATCAACCTAGAAAATCAATTTGTTTGTGTAGACTTAGCTAAATGTTTTAACCAAAAATCTGTCAAATATCAGGAGTACTCTGTCTTTAGTGTTTCCCTTAGCCTTTGAGATTAATATAGCGGAAAGTTCTTTACGATTTTTTACGTTTAAAAAAATTTGATGTTTTTTTAGCTGTCAAAAATTGTTTGCAATTTGCTAATTATTTCATAATTTAGTTAACATAAGTTTACTATTGATCTAAGTAGCCAATACATTATGGGGCGTTCCCACGGAGCGTTAATCACGACAGTCAACTACGCTAGTCAACTGTCGTTCGTGACACTCACGAAAGTGTGAATTGATGAAACGTTCACATGGTTGGGGGATTTCGTGCCGTTCACGCTTCGTGTTTCGACTTTTTTATCGAAACATCGATCATGAATGATCTGGTTGTTGAAAGTAGTGCTGTTTTAAGTTCGGTTTTTGCTACTATCATAGCAAAAAAGATTGAGCGCTTACAGGACACAAGAAAACGAAAAAAAAGACGTTCATTCATGACTTATTCTCTTAGCTGCGGCGGCACGTAAATCTCTATCACGGTATTCCTCCAAACTTGGATCATATAACACCTTTTCCATAGAATATAACTCCAAAAAACGCGTAGTTTCACTGTCGTTAAACTTAATTCCACGTTGTTGTGACGACATCTTGGCTTCACGAACGGTATATCACGACTGAAAATCAAACACGCTTGTGTCGTGCGCCGTTCCTCACGAAAGCAAGTTTAACGCCTATGCGTTCACACAGAAGTGTATTTCACGAAAGCGTGGTTGACTGTCGTGATTAACGCCTCGTGGGAACGCCCCTTTAGTCGTTTCATTGGAGAGTCATTTAATAGATGATCCTAGATCCTTTATCATTATTCATTTAGAATTTTACATACTCTGTCAATACTTACATATATTATAAGACTGGTAATTAAATAAATACTTATTTAAGACTCAACCTGTACATTAAGATCGGTAATTTATGACATTTTTAGAAATATGTAATTCTTGAGTCTATTACGTGGATATTATGTAGGTAGTATAAAGAACATTTCTTTTAAGCATACCCACATGTTCTTGATTTAAGACAATCTCAGTTTTTTAAATCGGGCCAAACGGAGGTAGTTTATGAGCAAGTGCACACCACGACTGTGGAACCAGCTGCCCTCTGAAGTATATCGGAACCAATTCGACTTCGGGTCCTTCAAGAAAAGAGCGTACCAATTCTTAAAATGCCGGAAACGGCTGAGCCTGCCCCATGTTACATAAAAAAGGGCTAACCTGATGTTAAGTGATTCCGCCGCCCATGGACACACATGGACCCCACAGGGCTCACAAGTGCGCTGCCATATCTGGATACAATTTTACGTTGTTTTAAAAATTCTTCTATTTCTAAAGTAGTAGAAACTAAAGTGTATAAAGAAATCTGAAGATGTTTTTCAGGAAAGTTCCTCGATTCTGTGTGTTTAAACCGATTTTCATTGCCTATTTAATGTTTTTCCCTCGATTTCTAGTCAATTGTATATTATAAGGAATAAATGACTTTTTAAACAATCTTAAAAATACCTTTTATTTATCAAAAACACAACAAACATGTCAAGGAATCTATACATTGTCATTAATAACGAATTACATACACACATTTTTTTTAATTTGTCAGAAAATTTAAAATATTCCCGTAAAAGGTAAACTAGAAACCTTGCTAAGTGTTCTTTGTCATTACAATTAAATTGGAGAAAAAAATATTTAGCTCATTGGATCTTTGTTTTATTTTAAATAATAAAGTAAATAAATTTACATTTTCAAAGCATATAACTAACTGAAAATTAATAATGTTTACATTGCCCCAAATATGCTTCAAGTTAAGTATGTAAAATAATATCATATAAAAAAAATGCACCAAAAATATGTTTTATTTTGCAGTATTCTCGAACACCAACAAATGATTGAAGTCACAAACTGTCAGTTAAAAACTCATCAGAGTTGTCAATAGCTATTCAATATCTACTTTCCCTCTTGCGCTGTCAAAGTCATTTTGAAGTATACCAAAACTTCAAATCTATATTCATACAAAACAAACAAATCATCAAAAATGCAAATAGAATATTTCGAAGCTAAACTCACACAACTAAATTCTAGTATCACAATTCGCTAGCCTAGTGTAAGAGTTTAACATTGGCATCCATATAAGTTTGGTTATTATAAAATGTGGTTCTTGACAGTTCTTCTTTAAAATAATCTATGGTCCGTTGTAATCCTTCTTGTAATGATATCTGCAATTTAAAAAAAACAATTAGGTTTCCCGCCTTTAGCCAGCCTATGATCGCTTTATTAGTTACTACTACTAGTAAAGGAAAATATCGTGTGGACCAGACCATGACGGTGGTTTGGCACAGAAAAGCTTATCTTACTTGAACTAGAAAGAATATTCGCGAAACAGATATGGAAATCTGAGGCCCAGATATAAAATATTGTAAAAAGCTTAATAATTTTAGTGCGAACGTTAAAACGGTTACCACGCATAGTAGGAAGTAATACATAGACTGTCTATCGATAATTTCATTTAATCACAAAATATACTTATTTATATTTTACCGTCAAACTATAGTGACGTATGTGCTGTCAACATTAAAAAGGTAGCAGCAAGGTCAAATTTCAACAATAACTCGATTTCGATCGAATCGAAAATATTCAAAATAAATTTTTTAAACACTTGCAATTTAAGGCCAAAATTTCGCTGCCTGACTACTGAGCCCGGTGTAAATATTTTCACATGTTACCATTATCTATACGACGTGATATTGCGGACACTATATACCTTATGAAAATTGCTACTGGTGCGGTCGGATGTACCGAGCTAGTAAGCAAAATAAACCTTTGAACACATAATAAAACACTTAGAATCATGAACCTATTACATGTACCCAAAGTAAACACAATTTATAGAGGGAGCAACTTTATGGTTAGAGCGGCGAACAAATTTAATAACTTAAAGATTGACATTGATATGTTCGCTGAGAGTGTGGTGACAGCAAGGAAAGCTTTAACACAAAATTATTTCAACCGCGATGAATGAAATGCATTGAGATTTAGTTTCAATTTTTTTTTCTTTTTTGTATTACAAACTAAAAATATTTGGCATGTTTACCTTCATGTTGTAAAAAAAACTATATGTGAAGATTTGTTATTGGCCCATAATGTTACATATATATATACATCTATTTCTGTATTGTGCTGTGAATCTTCTGAATAAATAAATAAAATCTGTTAGAACGACATCGAAGGGTCTACTCATATTTGGTCGTAAAAACCGATAGTCGAAACAGCTGAAGACCTTGTTATTAAGAACCTTTGATTCTGGTCAATATAACCGGTTTGTTGTTCTAAACGATGTCGTCGTAAACGGTTTTGACTGTATATATATATAGAAATTAATCAACAGACTTTTACACACTCGAATGAGACGATTACCTTAACACAATCAAATCGACAGTGAAGGATGGAAATATTATTGGTTCTTTCACATTCACAGTTTTTTTTTTTTTTTTTTTATGGCTCTGGCACGATTTGTGCATTAGCCAGCGTCAAGTATAGGACTTTTTATAATTCGTGCTTGTCTTTTTTTTAGAAATTCGACAGTGCCCTTTATGTACGGTTTAAGCACTCGCCCGGTACCGCACAACCCTCCCAAAGGCCGAGAACAAATTTAAATTAAATTAAAACTTGCCCTCGAACCGGGAATCGAACCCGGTACCCCTCACCTAGCTGCCACTTAATAAGACCGCTAGGCTATGAGGCCCCCACATTCACAGTTTCGTCCAAAACTCACCTTAGGAGACCAATGTAAATGTTTCTCCGCGATGGCGATATCCGGCCTTCGCCTTTGAGGGTCGTCTTCTACAGCCGCACCAGTTGCCACTGTACTCCTACATCCGGGGACTTGGTCTTTTATTATCACTGCAAATTCTGTAAAAAAATTAACTCTTAAAAATCTACAAAAAACAAGTTTGAATAGTTTGGTTTAAAAATATAACGAGTGTTTTAAATACAAGTCGTCGGAAATATCTGCGAACCTGGCTTAATGACGTCATACAAACTGGAGAGATAGCAAAAAAATTGAAGATGTAAAAATAAAAAATATTTTATTTGTGTACTTATTTTTATTGATACTCGTACCTACCCATCTTACATACAGCACTAAATAGGTAGTTTATGTAATATTTCACCAAACAGAGAAACAATAAACACTAAAATGCGATTACGAAAGCAAGAATAATACACGTGCGGCGTCGGCGATTGCGTTGGCAACGGTACTGGATAGGCGAAAACGGGGCGGGGTGCGGGGGCGCCAGGGGAAGCGCATTCCAGCGAGGTTCGCAGATATTTCCGACGGCTTGTACGTTAAAGAATCTATGGTTTATTTCTATTTTTTAATCACTAAATAAACTAGTGACAGCCATGTCAAACGTCAGTTCTATAAATATGTATCACCAAGAAGTTTTTATTATTTTTTACTAAGCATAGTCTGTGGAGGAAGGAAGGTGTTGTTCCTCCAAAAGGGATCCTATGTCAAAAATCAGTTTCTAAAAGATGTATCACAAATTTCTATTAATTTTTACTAAGCAGCGCATCTTTAGTCTGTGAAGGAAGGAAGGATCTCCCAAAACGAAAGATCCTTGACCAGTCTAACCAATTACTGATCGTCATTGTAGCCTCAGATTGTGGGTGGCCACGCCCCACTCAGTCCAATTTTTATTTCAGTCCAAACACAATTTAAAATACATGAAACCACAAACATACCTTCAATAGTATGTTCGACTGGATTTCCTATGTTAACGGGCAGAGTGTAACTAGAATCCATCAATGCTAGCAGACCATCGACCAAGTCAGAAACATAACAGAACGACCGGGTCTGTTTTCCGTTTCCATAGACCTAAAAAAATACGGATTGTCAATTTTCCTTCAGATTGAATTCGCTTAATACTAAAACAGCTTCTAAACATTGAATAACACCACTGTGTGGATCTGCCCACTGGATAGATAAGTGCGTATCAATTCTTAAAAAGCTGGCAAGGCACTCGAGACCTCTGGCATTCAAAGCGTCCATGGGCGGTATCACTTAACATCAGGTGAGTCTCCTGCCTGTTTGCCCCCTGTTCTATAAAAACTACTAAAAATTTAATGGAAGATGTTGAATAAAGCTGAATTTGTCGAACTGAACGAACCAAGCATAGACACAAATATCGCTTCAGACCTTTGAGGAATAAGCTCTCTTAAATTAGCTATCATCTTCTAGGGAAGAGATAACAACTTCGCTCGTTCGAAGAAAAATGTTGCCTTAAAAATGCCTGAAGGCCGATCTAGGTGATCCTATTAAGAAAATCATCACGAAACAGATACAGCTTAGTCGAGCGGGCCTAATGGTCGGAGACCAGGTACCGCCGGATCGACAGAGTAGAGGACCAGCTGCAGCTGAAAGCCAGCAATGGGCGGGAGGTGCTACAGGAGAGGGAGTTCTGAAAGTTTCTCATTTCGGAGGCCAAGACATATTTTGGGTCGCAGAGCCAGGAGAGTGTGTGTAAAAGACCTTAGACAGGTTGTGTTTTTTTTTTGCCAAAGGAAATATCAGTAAGTTAAGTCCTGGAATTATTACTCAGAAAACAGTCACCGGTAAAAAAAACTGTCTCCTGATTTGGGAGCGTTGAAGTATTACGTAACGAATTTTCGTCCTTTTGTAAAACGTTACGATGCGGGGCGGGGATTGAATTACGCGATATTGTTAATATTATTTTCGACTTTCCAGTATTTAACAGCACATAATGGTAACTTTTAGGTATAAAGAGTCACTGGGTGTTCACCAAACGTTGCACTATTGGGTACAGAGAAACGTTACGGCGCGTTATGGGGGGGTCAATAATCTCCAAAAATTGCGTGACGTAATACTTGAACGCTCCCTTAATACATCCTTACCGTAATTGTCAAATTTTGCAGAGCCTGCATAATAAAATTAGAAACGACTCGTCCATCTGAGGCATGCATCCTCGGTCCGTATGTGTTAAAAATTCTCGCCACTCTTACTACCACCTTTTCTTGCTTTGCGTAGGAGTAGGCAAGAGTCTCAGCCACTCTTTTCCCTTCATCGTAACATGCTCTTGGACCTGAAAACATCATTTTGTTTCGAAATAAATAATTTCCTTACACTTTAAAGTACCCAGGACTGTTGAGGATACATTGTAACTATGTTTCTAAAGTTGTCTTCTATTCGATGTTTTCAAATAAACACATACCTGGGCCAACAGATCTCAACCACTGGTATAATGTCGAAGGAGATTGATGCAAGAATTGGGAAAGCATAGAAATGTTACTGGGGGCTTAGGGAAGTCATGAAAAACACAGAAATAAAAATAAACGTCAAATCAAAGCTGTATAACACCTGCATACTTCCCGTCTTAACATACGGCTGCAAAACTTGGGCACTCACTAAAGTGCTAACCAGGAAACTGAAGACATGCCAGACGGCGATGGAAAGAAGCATGCTAAATACCAGGAACTCCAATAGAATTAATAATACAATCATAAGAAACCACACGAAGATTGAAGACGTCACGTCAAGATTAAAATGGAAATGGGCTGGTCATATAATAAGAGGTATAGAAAAGTGAAAAACAATAAGATCATATATTGGTATCCATGAAATAAGAGAAGAAAACGAGGTAGACAGTTTCGAAAGTGGGAAGACGAAATAAAAACCGTAACTGGGAAAATATGGACAAGGAAAGCTCAGAACAGAGCAGAGTGGAAAGAAATGGAGGTGGCCTTTGTCAAAGTTGGGCAAACAGATGGGTTGTCGGTGTACCGACTCACTAGAGACAATAGTTTAAGATTAAAATTATGTATTTTCTGTCTGAATAAAGGCTTATATTATTATTATTATAACCCGTTTGTATAACCTGTATCGAGCACAGAAGATTACACTATCTGATGTTGACATAACAGTTTGTCAACAAATGGTTGTCAATTGTCAGTTTACAGTCGGATATGAATCAATTGTAAAAATATTATTTTAATTTAAACTGTTTTATTTAGCCTTCCTGTTGACGGGTGGATCAGAAATTTGGTACGCATCTTTACTTAAAAAAATACAATTATTGGGCGTGCCTAACCTGCGTATAACGCTTTATCTTTTTGTCTGATCCTGCCTTAGATTGATGAGGGTTGGTGTGATAACTGTTTTAGTACATTGTCTAAAACTTTTAATTTTTTACTTTTAAGAAAAGCTTTTAATAAAAAAACTAGTACTGTCGTCGAACTGTGGCATATGACTGTCATTCTTATTTGAAAAAATTGTAAAATAATTGTAAATTTATAGTAAAACATAACTTCAAATCCGTTAAAAAAAGTGTTTTCCTATGATTAATACAATCTTATATTGTTTTTCTACATTGCAATATATTTGCCTCATACCATACGTACCTATCGGATTGACATGGCCCCAATAAGACTCCGGCTGTGGGTGCACCATGGGGTCGCCATACACCTCAGAAGTACTTGCTATGAGAATTTTAGCTCCGACACGGCGTGCTAATCCTGGAATGATAAAATTAAAATAAACAATTTCATCTGCATAGAGTATTGGATTATTTATATTATTAAAAACGCCTATAACATTGAAGCGGGATTACCAATTTACTCATAAATAAAAAATGTCTTAAACACATCTGTCCCTTTTCATCACAGGGATTATACAATTTGACAGAAAGAGACGAAGTTCAAAGAGTGCAATTACTAATTCAGTTTTTATGATTAGGTCAAGTCCAATTTACATAAAAATTTGTATAATTTTAAAGAATATAAGATGGCGTGGTCTCGATATTTTTACATAAAAAAAATATTAAAAAATTAGTAAGAAATTAAACTATAAAGTCTGTCAAATTAATTTAAATAATATTTTTACAATTGGTTCAACTGTTACCTGACAATTGACATCCATTTGCCAACTGTCACGTCAATATCTTTAGCTAGTGTTATGTTCTATTCTCTATACATGGTATATATTACAGACTGTGCATGCATATTGCATTCTGATAGCCAAACATACTTTGAAATGTTATAAGTTTTTACTATTTCCTTTTACTCGCTTATCCAAAACATCGAAAACAAAATAAATTAGGAAACATTATAATTTATAGGACACAACTGTTCTGGATACTTCAAAGTTAGTTAAAAAACGTTCCGTCTAATTACAATAGATTTCTTTAAAGGATTTCAACGCCATTTACTACGAATTGACCCCAGTATTTAGTATAATTCGCGTTGAATACTAACCTAGCATATTAATTGTTCCCAGTGTATTCGTCTTTATCGTTTTGACTGGATTCTGCATGTAATGGGGTGGGCTAGCTGGACTAGCTAAATGGTATATTTCGTCTGCCTAAAATGATAAATCATTACAGTACATTTGTTAAGCGAGATTTTTAGGGATTTTTTACTTTTTATTACTTTACTAGCAGACCGGCCAAGCGTTGCTGTGGCTAAGGTTTTTGGTTATATTACATAGTAGCAAACTATTCAACGGAAACGGTAGAACACCTGTCATGGGGACCATCATGCTTTTTTGGTGGTTATGCCATTAAATTGTAGCTTATGTGAAACGTTGGTACTTTCAACACAGCGCCATCTGTTAGAATTGTGACTATCAAATAATAAACAAATATTTTGCAATAAAATAATTTTGCGGGTATAAATTGAGATGTAAGCTATCCTATCTTTTAAGTTGGATCAAACTACACACGATGTGCAAATTTGATTGATATCGGTTCGGTAGTTTAGGAGTCCATAGCGGACAAACAACGTGACACGTAATTTATATATATTAAGATTTAAAAAAAAATTCTTCAACCAAAAACCAAGCCAAATAAATTTCAAGCGTGGCAATAACTGAAATATCAATAAGCTATCAGCTATAAGATCGAAATAATATCAATTTTATATTACTTGAATTTATTTTTAATGCATATTTGAAATTACCACTCGAACTGTGTGTACAATAAAAGCTTTAGGGGTTTCAATTGACATTTAGTGGTATTTGAAGTTGGCCCTAGGATATTATGTAGGAGAGAGGCATTAGTGGGTTACAGACTTTTGAAAAACAATGGTGATCTTTCACAGTTTTATACATAAATCTATTTAAGTGAATTTTGTTAGAGAACGTGATTATAATGGTGGAAAATATTTTGGGTTAACGCATTAACAGTAGTAAGTAATTACATTAATATAACCATTTAAAGTAAGAGAATAATTTGTGATTGATACAAACATATTTAATTCTAACTTAATTTATTATCCTTGATAAATAGTCTAAATACTTTCAATACACCAAAATACTTTTCAATTCATTTGCGTGGTACTGAAGAATTAATAACGCCATACAAAAACTTCAGGGCAATCAAACTTATATGAATTTTGAAGAGCTGTCAAAATATTTTTTATTATGAAGTTTGACACATTTGAAAGCGCTCAAGGCGAATTTTACTTGATAATATATGAATTAGCATATGGACCTAAGTATAGATACCTCAACATATAGCGGGTTAACAATGTCATGGTGGATCATCTCAAAGTTCCTATGTCCGAACCAATGTTCAACATTCCTCTTTCGTCCAGTGAAAAAATTATCAACTACAATAACTTCATGTCCACGCATCATCAGAACATCAACTAAATGTGAGCCTACGAAACCTGCACCTCCTGTTACCTGAAAAATATTTTCTAATAAAGTTAAATTATAATTGAAATAATCACCAAACTATAATATAAAACACCGCTTCCAAGATAAATCCTCAAACATAATGTTAATTTTTAACTGTTAAATTGATCAAGAGGATCAATTTGCCCCCATGGTGGTCCCTAAAATTTGTGTATGAATTTATATATTCCATTAAGAAAGACTGTTTCAAAAAATTATTATATTAATTTGAGTTTCTGCTCCAATTGTAGTATTGCTGATATCTTGGTAGCGGTTACTTTATGTCTATAGTCATAATATAGGAAACAGTGGTACTAGATTTTATTCCTAGTGGAAATAGTTCATTCTTTTCATTCTAATGACAGAGAAATATTGTTACTGTAATATAGATTACTGATGTAGAAATAAAAGATTTTGTGTTTCAATCTTTCCCACATATTCTATACTTTAGATTTCTGTGAGTTGCATCCATGAAGATGGACCCTTTATTTATTTATACTCATTTAGTAGAAAACCACAGTATTCCTGAGTCATATAGGATATAATTTCATCTATGGGAGCTACATAAGCCCTAAATAGTTTATGCTCACTCACTTTAGGCTTATTAATATAGTAATATATACATGTATTTTTGCACTTCTTGCCTACCTTATGTAATTTATTATTATTTTTTTTCTTTTCTTACAGTGGTTGCCTGGAAGAGATTGCTCGAAAGCGATAAGGCCGCCAGTTGCTCTCCTTTTTATTTAATTATGTCAATTGTACCATATTAATGTATATGCAACGAAGTGTTAATAAATAAATAATACATACAGCATATCTACAAAACTGAAGAATTACAAGTCTCTTAAAAGAACCTCAAAGATAGGCAGTTTGAAAGCCTGCAATGATAAAAATATAACAAACAAGTAAATTTTTCAAAATAAAACTTGTTTTGCAACCATTGGGAATATCGGTGACGAAAGTTAAAAGCTGTACAAATAGTTCCTTGAATGTTTATGAATTTAACACATATTGTATTATGCACACAATTGAACATTATCATGTCATATGCAAATTCAAGATTCAAAGATTCAAAGCCTTTATTTCAACTAATACAAGAGAACAAAATATAAATATATAAAAAGAAAGTTCAACAAGCACAGCTGTCCTCTTGTACAGCTTGCCTTTGTGGCACAAAGGCCTCCTCCAGCTGTTTCCATTGCCTCCTATTCCTGGCAAGTCTTTGCCACAGAGGACCAGTGGCTTTTTTAAAGTCGTCGACTTATGTCGACGACTTTAAAAAACACGACGACGACATATGCAAATATTATAAGATGGTGTGAATTAACTAACAGTTATGTTAAATACCTCTTGTTAATGGTAATTAAGATGTACCAATAGTACCAAACTGCTAACGAAAATATAAGTAAATTTGATTAGGTAGGAAAGCCCACCTTCATGGATTATCTAAGTTCTTTATAAGGGTTTTTATGTATTTAACTAATCTAGACCTATTTCAGTTTATAACTAATTTTATATTTTCCAATACAAAACACACATACACACTTAAAAGATTGATTTTTCAAATTTTTTAGCTTTTTCACAAATAACTTCTTTTAATACAAGGTGATCAACCAATAATTTAACTTTAATTTTTGTATTATATTAGCTTGCAGCCGAAAAACATAATTCAAAAAATCAATTCTAACACCTAAATTTACTGATTCTCTAAAAAAAATTATTTGCGCCTACAGCACAATAGATATTGGGACTTACTAACTTCAGGTTTGCGCTAGGCCCTAGTTAAGTTAGTGCCTCACCTATAAATTAAGGAATCAATATAGAAACACAATAATGAAAATATCTGTTTTTCTTTTAAAGTAAATTAAGCCTTCAGGTTTTAATAGTTTTAATTATTTTAAATTTCCAAATTAATAGAATATTCCAGCTTAATCACTTTGTAACTTAGGGGATATATCAGTGGATTTTTACTTTCAAGATTTTGATTTGAGTTTTATATTATTTACAATTATGTTGTAGTTAGACCTCTACATGTAATTGTTGCATTTTTATTTGCAGCCCCCTTGTAAAGTGTAGCACTTAGCTTACCCAGAAGTACAACATACTCTGGTTAAGAAAAATGTATCTTATTATTTTATAACTTACCAAAATCCTTTTTCTGTGTTTATATCCAAGATATTTAACTTCTGGATATTTTTGTGGTATTCTGCCTTCTAAAACAGCTAACTTCTTCTCCAGTTGTTCTATTCTGGCTTTAGCCTCTTGCAGTTCCTGTTTTGTATTATCACCTACAATTTTTGTTTCCATTTTTCTAATACTTTCCTCCTTAGGTATATCTTTTTTTGGTTGCCGATTAAAGTCTCTATAGCTCAAACCCTGCACATCATCTGATTTCTGATCCTCCTTCGCAATTTGAATGTCGTAAACTTTGTCTTGCTTAAGTTTAAGAAAGATAAAGATCACTGGAACGATTAATTAACATTAAAGGAAATTGTTCGGATATTATGTTAATGTATGAGTTATTGATTAGTCACAGACTGCTAATGTCAAATTAATTAGTACTTACATAAAGCTACAATACATATAATTGTAAGAGTTTTTCGAAACTTTAATGACTGTCTTATCATCTCTGTAAATAGTTCACTGTCGTACTACTGTTTACATGTCGATAAGGTTTAACGATTTTTTTCATGCCTATCTAATCACAGTGTATGTTATATATAGTGCAGAAGCATAAGTCTAATTTAATGTTTGTTTACGTTATTGATATATTATAATTTCATTACTAATGTTACAAGAATTGTTTATATTTTACTTTTAACTTTAGCGGTAGTGAACAGAACTGGAAATTTTTATTAAATACTGACTTTGACAGCTGAGTTATGACCGAGGACTATTTAATACTTTTAAATGACATCTGTCAAATAATAGTGAACGGTTTTTGATTTGCCTTTCGCTTAAATGGAATTTAATGGAAATTAATCCCTAATAGGGATAAATTAATATCATCATGAACGCTCTTTGATTACTCCATTTTTAACAATTTCGAATAAATAATTACTTAGGTGTCTTATTTAATAATACTTTATCCTTCTGTATCTACCAGATAAGTACTATACATGCCATTTTAATAAATAATTTGGTTATATGGAATGGAATTTTGGAATTAAGATCTGAATGAAGATTAACTTTGCCCTTAAAAAGTGAGGTTGGCAACCTTAGGCAATACTGAAATCTAATACATGTCACTCTAAGCTCTAAGGAAGCTTCCCAATTAGTCGCCAGAGTGCAACCCGACTTTAGTGATGGTTTGGTGGGGTATAAGCTATGAAGGACTGAGCCATACTTTTGTGAAAAAGGTATCAAAACATCGGCACAAGAGTATCAAGATACCATTCTTGAGAAGGTAGTGAAGCCAATAACACCATGTTCATAAACCAAGAATAGTCCTTCCAGCAAGACTCGGCGCCGGGTCATTAAGCTGGGTTCGGACTTCATCAGAGCTGAAGACTGGCCGTCGTCTAGTTCCGATCTTAATCAGATGGATTATGATTTATGGTCAGTTTTAGAGAGTACGGCTTGATCTAAACGCCACGATAATTTGGAGTCCCTAAAACAATCCGTACGATTGGCAGTGAAGAATTTTCCCATGGAAAGAGTGCGTGCTTCTATTGATAACTGGCCTCAACGTTTAAAGGACTGTGTTGCAGCCAATGGAGACCACTTCGAATAAGATTTTTTTATATTTATATATTAAACTAGCACACTGTAAATGTCATTTTCAATAGAAAACAATTTGATTTTCTTTGTTTCATTATTTATGGCAAGACTAGGTATATATGTTACTGTAAAAGCTCGAACTGCAGTAAAACCTAAGATCTACCAATTCCTAATGGCAAATGTGCTAAAAGGTTTGCGATTCGAACTCTTACCACCATTCCGTTGGTAAATCTTAGGATTTACATTAATGGCACGGTAAATGTTGAAAAACAAAACACGACTAGCTTATGTAAGCATTATGTTTGTATTTCATTGTTAAATTCCAAATAGAGAACTACTGATTCAGTTAGATAGATATGATAGAGCTTGAGATATTCAGAGATATACGTTATGTGTTTTTTCAAAATAATTTAAATAAGTTGGTATTAGTTTGTACTTATAACTACCATATGATACCTTTATAATACTATGTACCCGTTTTGTCTAATAGTTCATTAAAGTAAATAATTAAGAATTACTCATTGTTTTGTTCCTAAAACTAAATAATACATAATAATAATAATACAATAATAATAAACTAAATAAAAATAAAAAATATACTGAATTCGAATGGTAAAAGCTCGAAAAATCGTCGTATTTTCAGAAATACTTACATTTACCAACTCGGTACGGTAAATCCTAAGACTTACACTTAAATCTTAAGATTAACCGTAGTTCGAGCTTTTACAGTAACATATAAATGTATTTATTGTTGATTTAAATGTAATTTAAGATTATAGGGATTTGAACAATTATCTCATTGACAAGGGGATAATTATTTTTATGAGCGGTTCTTATCTATGTCTCAATTTACTTAATATACATTATTTGATTATTAAGTACCCTAGTTAATCCATACCGTTTTAAATAAAAAAATATTCATATTTTTATATACATACAGGCTGCCAACGCAACTTTGTTTCTGCTTAATTTTGATTTTACTTAGCCTACCATTTAAGTACATAACAACAAGGATCATTTTGCTATGCTGAGACTGTTCAGTTTTCTAGAAAGAAAACTTTTGAGGTTTTATCTCACACACTGTTTTATTGTGTTTTTCATATTATTTTTATTACTCTTTAATGTATAATATTTTACGGTTTCGATATTTGTAAATATGTGAGGAACATGTATACCAACTTTTTTAGTATAGTAGTTTTATTCTAAGAGTACATTGTCTTCACATATAATTATTTAACAAATGTAAACAAAATATTGTAAACCTATTTTAAAAGAGTAAGTGTGGAGTTTCTTGCCCATTCTTCTCCACACGAAACTACCTTTTTGAAGGGGGAACTAGAATCTTCTTTGTATTTTGTTTGACGTTCAAAAGAGCCATTTTAGGTGGTCTAATTGAAATAAATGATTTGACTTTGTAAATTTTTCTCTATATAAACCTCAGAGTTCAAGTCATAAGTTTTTAATTAAGTAACAAAGTGAGAGAGAAAAGAGTGTATTTTTTGTATGCTGTAAGTATCCATAAAAAATAATATCATAAAAAATAAAAACAAAAAAAATTCTCTAAAAAATAAAAATTTTGGGATGGACCCTTAACATTTAGGGGTTTGAAAGATAGATAGTAGCGGATTCTCAGACATACTGAATTTGCATAAAAAATTTTATAAGAATCGGTCGAGCCGTTTCGAAGGAGTATGAGAACGAACATTGTGACAAGAGAATTTTATATAATACACACACATATAAATATTAACAGTCTAAGCTTAATGAATAGTTTCTAAATTGAAAATTACTAAAATGATTTTTTTTATCTATGGAACATAATTATTGATTGCTCGATTGGTTATTTGATAAAAGTAAGTGACCTTTTTGGTCAAATTAAAAAAAAAGGTTTACTAATCAACGACTTTGGAAAAAGTGATTTAATTGTAATTAAATATACAGTGAGCTTATTAAAATCTTTATTCATGAATAATGTAGATGTTTAGTAGTATTTTTTAGCAGTTTAGTTGTTCTAAAGATTCCTACAAATTTACCTAATTTACATAATGTAATGTATTACAACCCTGCTGAAGAATCACACACTCTGATAAACAATAAACTACAAGCTCCCACCTTTTCAGAATGCCAAATCATAAAATGACTGCTTCACGACTGATTTCAGAGCGACCGCCGATGCGAAAACCGCTGTGTGAGTTCGAAAAATGAGTTACAGAATCGCAGGGCTGGTTAAACAATTGTTTGTTCAATAATATTTAAATAATTAATACATCCTACAATTTAGAATGAAATCATTTCGTTTTATCAATGACAGTGACATCCTTGAATATAGTAATTGCATAAAATTGCAATTTAAAATATAAATAAATGGAGACATTTCCGTTTCAATATTACTTTGTAAGTATTTCAAGTGCGATAAGTTCTTTGAAATGTAATACATTAATGCATATTGTACGCTACTTTAGATTAATATAATATGTAGCAGGACCGGATTTAGCTATGTGTATATATAGCACAAGGCACCAAGCCTTCATTAGACTCTGGGAAAAAAATCTTTCAAATTCCGAGTAAACACTGGTAAATAACTTTTCTTTTTAGGAATCTATTTGGTTACATAATAAATTATTTTATAAAATAATTTCAGTCCTTTACTCCATTGTTGCCCCGAGGCCTCTAAATCCTGTTCTGGGGGCTAGTACGTCGAAAACTAAATTTGTATGAAAATTTGTCGACATGAACTGTCAGTTTCTAAGCCTGCATACAATGTTCCTTATCTAACACTTAAACTAGGCTCAAATATGCTAATTGTTATCTATAATGCTAAAGCATAACAGTTAAAATATAATACAAATATTATAATATATAATAATTAAAATATATACTTATGCAGATATACTTGTGCTTGGAGCAGTGATCCCCGGCTGTGCACCAATGGACTTTCTTTCTTTGTGCGCATTTAACATTCGCTCGAACGGTGAAGGAAAACATCGTAAGAAAACCGACATGTCTTAGACCCAAAAAGTCGACTCATAGATTGCTTGCCTATTAGATTTAAAAATGATCATGAAACAGATTTAGAAATCTGAGGCTCAGACCTAAAGAGGTTGTATTGCCACTTGTTTATTACTTATATTTAATAGGAGATTTGTATGTTTGTAACGAATCAATTCGAAAACTATTACAATTCTTGACACTATTTAAATTCAACATTGTCTCTGAGTAACACAGCCGTGCGAAGGTGCGACAGGCCGCTTATCATAATTAACTAATTCGCCAGTTTCATATTATTTAATGGTAACATACTATTAATACCATTACATAAATATATATTTTTTTAACAACTTTAGATACACGAAAATTGTATTAATTTTTATAGATGTCGGTTACAAAAACGACTCTTTAATCTAACAAGATAGTCTGGTTGATCAATGAATAAACCATCGATTCCAGTCGCTAGATATGCTTCCAATTCTCCATCCAAATTACCCAGAGCACTGTCAGCAGGATCGTCGCTTCTAAACTCCACTGGTAGATAAGCGTTTTCAGCTCGAAAAGTGTAGGGATGAACTTTCAGACCCACGTCATGTGCATGAATAACAAGAGATGTGGGAGTGCCAAGCCTATTTCTGAAATCGCGAGGAATTATGTGGTTTTTATGAGGTCCAATTGCATGTGCGTATGTTGCAATATCTTTGAGCCCTTCTGGTGATATCATGCTAGCTTTATCCTGTACTGAAACTCGTCCAATTAATTGCAGCAATCGCAGATCTGTTATGTTCTTTAATATTCTCAAGCTGTTGGCTTCAAACGATTGTATGTATACCGGCACAAGAGGTCCGATGTAGCCGTTTCTGAGAAAAATTTCGACCACTGCCTGTTCCATTGGCAATCCTATAGATCGAAAATAGGCACCGTTCTTCAGTTCTGGATATATACCAATAGTGCGATTCTGACTGATCTCTAATCCTTTTACTAGATCTATGATTTCCTGAAATGTAGGAACTTCCATTGAACCATCCATTCGAGTATTTCCCGGTCGAATTAGAGGTATTGGTTCAATGGTCCTAAGTGTTTTGATTTCTGCAAGCGTAAAATCTTCAGTAAACCATCCTAATGAAATGTTAACTCCTAAAACAGACATTGAGCGGTATCGATCAGCAAACTCTGGTCGATGAGCAATGTCTGTAGTTTTTTCTAACTGGTTTTCGTGTCTTGCAATCAAATGGCCGTCTTTGGTCATAACGAGATCCGGTTCCACATAATCCGCGCCTTGTGTAACAGCGAGCGCATATGAGCCTAGGGTGTGTTCGGTTATGTAGCCGCTTGAACCACGGTGAGCCACCACGACTGGTTCGCAGTCATCGGGTCCCGGTCGTTGTACATAGGTTGTGAAAACTTCAGTAGTGAAAAGCACAACAAAATACACTATTGCTACAGAAAATGTAGCCATCATTTAAATTGGGAACTCACTTTGCACTAGGTACTTTCCAGTGTTATGAAAAATTTATTTGTGTTTGATACTATCAAGACTGATTGTAATTTTAACGATTTATTTTTATATTTGCCTTAATCATGATTAATTATTAGATAAAGGTATTAAAACCATACAGTACATTGATCACGCTCTCTTTTATTCTCATAATCATGCACAAAATTATATTATTAAACATGAATTCTATATACAATATCACGAGATCAGGTCAAGGTCAGGTCTTGCCCTAACCAAATATGTGCCAATGTCGTCTAGCATTTTCCTCGTAATCCGACGGGCACATCCGGTTGGTCTGAGAACATACCATCAATGCCGGCTTCAAGGTAGGCTCTCAGCTCACCGGCCAAGTTTCCCCTGGCAGAAGGTGCTGGATCAGTGCTTTGAAATTCCTTCGGTAAGAAAGAATTTTCCGCTCTAAAAGTGTATGGGTGAACTTTTAACCCAGCTGCATGAGCATCTTTCACAAACGTAGTGGCTTCTCCAAGTGTATTATCATCATTCCTAGGGATTATATATGATTTATCTGGTCCAACAGCGTATGCATATTTAGCAACTTCTACTAGGCCTTCTGGTGTAGACATGTTTCCATATGTAAGATTAGTGCCAATAATTACTTGATCAGCTGGTTGAGAGCTTTTATCACTTTCGAATAGTTGTAATAAGCGCAGATTTGTAATGTTCTTTAGCTCCTTTAGATTGCCTACTTCAAACGACTGGATATAGGCGGGAGAATCCTGGCTTGTATAACCATTACTGTGGAATGTATCTACTACTAATTGTTCCATCGCCAAACCAAGATTCTTGAAATGACTGCCATGTTTAATCTCAGGATATATACCGACGGATCGTTTTTGTGAGATTTCTATGCTTTTAACTAAATCAATGATTTCCTGGAATGTAGGAACTTCGAATACGCCATCCATACGCGCATTGCCGGGCCTTATATCTGGAATCCGTTCTATAGCTTTAAGAGTTTTGATTTCTGCAAGTGTAAAGTCTTCAGTAAACCAACCACTTACTTCTGCACCGTCTACAGTTTGAGTTTTATGTCTGTTAGCGAATTCTGGATGTTGTGCCACGTTTGTTGTCAATCCAAGTTCGTTATCGTGTCTCGCGATAAGGGCTCCATCTTTTGTCATGACTAAATCGGGTTCAACGTAGTCTGCGCCCATTGTAATGGCTAGTGCATATGAACCAAGGGTATGTTCTGGTATATACCCACTGGCACCTCTATGTGCTATGACAGTTGGCAAACATTTGTCGGGATCATTGCTTGATGATGTCCTCGCTATGATAGCCGCAGACGTAGAGACTATAGTTAGTCCTCCAATTATTAATAGGATCCATCCTGTACGCGCTTTTAATTTTATAGTCTTCTGAAAAAAGAAACAAGGCAAATTATAATCTTTCAACTGTGTAAAGCTAAGCGTGCGATTCTCAAGGTCTTTAGAACCCGCTTTAAACGCATATGGTAAGGAAAAAGATCGCAAGGAAACCGGTACATTTAAAATTCAATTCTACTTTTTATTTTTTTATATTACAGTAGGCAAACGAGCAGGGTGAATTAAGTACCACCACCGCACCTGCAACGCCAAGAACTAGCGGGTATGCGGTATGCTGCAGACCTATTAGGGAATGGTACGCTCTTTTCTTGAACGAGCCTGGCACATGATGTAATGGTTGTAGCTCCTTGCAAACACTTTGTAAAACCTGGCGATTGCGACGTAGAGTTTATTGCCAGTTTTTACAAAGTGTTAAAGTTAACTCACTTTTCGAACTCACACAGCGGTTTTCGCATCTGCGGTCGCTCTCAAATCAGTCGTGAAGCAGTCATTTTATGATTTGGCATTCTGATAAACAATAAACTACAAGCTCCCACCTTATCAGAATGCCAGATCATAAAATGACTGTTCTCGTCCGTTCAACGCCCTTCATTGTGTTATCTACATGAATAAATGTTATTTTATTTGATTTTATAAGTTATAAAACACCCTGCATGAGATATTACTAAGTAGAAAGTAAAATACCACCAGTTTTAAAAACTAACAACTAAATAGACTCTTAATTAAGAAAGTAATACACAAAATGACACTAGGAAGTTTGTTGTGAAATATGTATATCAATATTTTTAACCAATTTAAAAGGGCATGAAATATGTATCAGAATTAACCTAGTAGACTAAAATTACGATGACTGATGGCGACGTTAAAAAATACATTTTTTTAATGAGAAATAAAGTTCTTTCAACATTATTTTACACTGAAAACATATCATTGAAATAGTATTATAGTAATGCGTTTCCTGCGTTACGGAAGTTCATACACTAATAACAAAAGTTGTATTTTAATAACGCTATTATGTTGTATTGTGTAACGACAGACTGACACTTATATGATAACCAGTTTTAATACTTAAGAGAAAGTACCAAAGATATATATAAATTGTATATTCACACTTAAGTTATATAGTGTATATATTCGTTAGCTGGTAATTTTTTCTGTTTAATAAAAATTTCTGGTATTTTTTTTTAAACATTTATGTTTACCTAAATTATTATGTATAATAATTTAGATTAAAGAGTTTATACACCGTAGATATATGATGTGGTATATTTTAATAAATAAAGTAATGTTCACTTGTTTTATCAATAATAAACTGCAATAATACACGTTACACGTTTTTTTACTGAGAATGTTTGTTATTATGATAAATGTTTATAGTGACATCGTGACGTTACATTACTATTTCAAAGATTTTAAATATACAATTTTAATAATTATTCGTTCTTTTTCCTGTCACAAAACAGTCCGTGTTTGCTCTCGTAAAGTTTTCCTCTACGCAAAATATAAATGTGTTACTAATAACTTGAATTTACTCACCATTTCTGTTGCAACATCCGATCTTTTTGGCACTTACTATCGCACTATCAAATACTTAAACTGTCAATTCGGTTATTTACAGACGCAAACAAAAGTATTTTGACAGACGACTGTTAAAAGCAAGTGAACAATGGCGACTCAATGAGGAAAGACCAACTAAGTTAACTCTGTTGGAAGAATGGCGTAATTATATACGGATAATTCTTAATGTCATTATTAAATCGTGTTTTATCAATACATTTACATTTCCTTTTTTATCTGTTTTGGTTTATAAATTAATTGTTTTTATTAATGTTACCTTTTTAAAGGCCGGCAACGCACTCGAGAGCTCTCTGGTATTGAGAGTGTCCATGGGCGGCGGTTTCACATAGCTTCAAGTGAGCCCGTGCCCGTTTGCGCCCTGTTCTATAAAAACAAATACCTTAGATTTCATTAATTATAAGTTTCGCTAGCTCTTCTTTTTTTTCATTGCATGGAAAGATGTTCTTATTTTTTGCTTAGTATTTATTAATATTATTAATTCTGGTGCGAAAAATTTAAATAAACAATGTCTTGCTTCGGCTGAAAGTTGTTTGTAATATTTTAAATCAATGGGAATTCATTTCATATCGAGAAATAAAAGAGCAAAGGAGACAATTTTACTATTAAATACTTGCCTTTGAAAGTGCAGTGGTAGTGTTCGTTTAAAACTACTTTCAAAATCTATTTTCTACGTTACGAAGCTACGACCATACAAAATCGGGCAACATTTGATGCCGGGAACGGTAAAATTCAATTGAACAATGTTTTTCGACTTCGCCATGCCGGACCATAATATATCGTTGATATTTCCGACTTTCAAAAAAAATAAAATTTCGAAATATAAAAGCGTAAATACTAGTTTATACTTTATAAAGAATGGCCTATCAATATAAGTAATAGGTTATAAAATGACTAGTGTTTAATGTTAGAAATTAATCATAATCATCTGATTATTATTATTAAGAAAATAATGTTAATCATCTGATTATCTTTTGCTTTAGCTTTAGCGTTAATTCAACATGTTTTCTATTCAAATATAATTCTGGAAAATGTGTTTTTTTTTAAAGAAATTAAAAGCATGATATTATAATCTACGCTTGTCTATAAGCGCCATATTGTCTTAATTTGAATTTAGAATAATCTCCGGGAATAGATTAACCGCGCATATTTTCCTTGTTTTCAATTTGAATTTCGAATAAAATAATACTAAAATAAAAAGCATTTACCGAACAACTGTACAATTCTTTATTTAACACGCAAGATAATATTATCTATGCTTAACTTGACATTTACAATTTTATGGTTGATAAGTGATCGCTGTGTGACTCAATCTGCGGTGTCTACGTGATAGAAAATATATAGAAAATGAAATAGTTTTGCTCTTGACGAAACTAGGAATTGATTAATACTACGCTGAGCTACTAGGATTAATTTTCATTATGAAATTTAAAGTTAATAATAACATATTTTTAACTTTTATTTTATTTACTTTACCTACTATACACATTTACACAAGACTTCATTACTTTTACTGCTAACTTATACTAATATTATTATTTTCTACTAAGTACTATTACATTCCTTTTCATTATTTTTTTGCGACTGAGGCCCAAACTAGCTGCTGTGGTCTGGCAGAATGACCAGCGCTGTGGAACATTCTGCTCCTCAGCATAATGCTGAGCCAGGGCCAATTACAACCACAATTACACACTTGAAACGAACCGAATGGGAAAAGGGAAATAACATTTTTTTTTATATCTCTCATTATATTTTTTAGTTTAATTTTGTTTGATTATTGTAATTTTGTGTGTTTATGTGTGTGTGTTTTTGTTAGAAATAAATGTTTTGTCTATTTCTAAATAATGATTCGTTTTATAGAGAAAATAATGCTTTTTTAATACAGTTGCTCAAAAAGTGGCGTATTGCAGGGACGTATAGCGTTCGGGATGGGGGCTATTACACACTCGTGCTTTTTTTTTTACCTTTTCCGAACTAGTGCGTTTTCTTTCCCAACTGTCAAAATAATGTCTATTAAAAAGAAAAAACCAACCAAAAAGTTTTTACAAAAAAAATTCATAGAAATTTTTATGATTCATGCAAATATATCTAAAAAGAAGCTACTGCTTTGTTTCAATATAAGATTTAATGATTTGATTCAATGAGTTAGGTTAGATTTCATTTCATCTCATTAAATTTAATTTCATATCAATAAAAAATTGTACTGAAGACTTGGCTGTATGGGCATAGTTCCCTTTGCCTACCCAGAATGGGTGAAGAAAAAAAAATATCTGCTTATATTTTTTTACGGTGGGCGCCATTTTCCAAAAATGTTCTTTGCGCGTTTAGTTGTTTGTTATATTAAATATACAAGAATAATCATACGAAATAAATAATAGTTTATCTCAATCAGTAAATAAATATGCAACCTAAAACTTCTCCAGTTAGTATAAAAAACTGTACCAATGTATATGTGAACAATAATTTGTATAAGAAATAAATGATTAGTGAGTTGAGTTTATTGTTTTTTTATTATTTTATTAAATTGCATAATTTTTTCGCAACTGTATTAAAAATAGTTGTTCAGTACACGTGCGGAACCGTCATTGCAACTTGTTCCGACTGTCAACCCTCACCTTCGGCTGCGCCTCGGCTCGGGTAGACATTTGTCGAAACTCTTTGCAATGACAGGCTTTCCGCACTTCTAATGAAATATACTATTTGAAATCAAAACGTTGTCATAGAAAGTATATACTTGAAATGATATAAATCACAATATATCTCCGCCCTGTTCTTCAAGCGATTGACAACCCCGCGACATCCAAAGTTAGGTCCGAGTTTCGCAGAAGTCGCCCTTGCGCTAGTCACAGGAAAAAGCCCATTCTGAGCTGAGAGCTCTCAAGGCCCTTCAGGCCCTTGCGAAATTCCTTTAAAAAAATTACAAAATTAAGTGTTCAACTTAAAATAAATATCTCAGTTCGTATGATAGATTTCCTAATTTATTTATTGATAAAAAATACAGAACGTAAAGTGGTGACCGGTGGAACTGGTGGAACACAAATTGATCACAATTTTGAATCTCTCCGTCCACCGAAGCGTCGAAACTAAATTAACTATTAGAATTAATTATTATTAGTATTTTTTTATTAATTAAACATAATAATATAAATTATATTATACAAAAACTAGCTGACCCGGCAAACGTTTGTTTTGCCGTACAAGGACATTCTATGAAACATATTTTTAGTTCAATAAAATAACTATCTACCATGATAGGGGTTGATCGTAGAGGGGTGACAATTAAGGATTGTATGTTGTATACCGTATCATAAAAAAATAAAAACAAAAAAATTGTCTAAAATATAAAAAATAAATGTTTGGGGTGGACACCCCTTATCACTTAGGGGGTTGAAAGATAGATAGTAGCCGATTCTCAGACTTACTGAATATGCATAAAAAATTCATAAGAATCGGTGGAGCCGTTTCGGAGGAGTATGGGAACGAACATTGTGACACGAGAATTTTATATATATATAGAGATAATCCCTTATATACTTTCACATATGTTAGTAAATTATCATAGATTAGTGTAATTTGTGGTTTTGATAATGTAAATAAGTATTATGATAGCTATTATCTGTAGGTGTGTCGGAATTTGATTATTATCGCCGATGACATTGTCCTAGAGAGTACTCGCAAGGACCGTGCGATTAGCGTCCAGCTAACAAATCAACACTCCTTTGTACGGTCCCACTTCGAGTTGGAATAACTACTTACCACTACACTTTTATACTAAGGTATATAACCCTTCGGTACTAAACCCTATAGAAGATATTGACGCTTTCAAACAAACGACAACGCTCTTACGAGCCTTCTGGCAATTTGAGTGTCTATGGGCGGCGGTTTCACTTAACATCAGGTGAGCCTTCTACCCGTTTGCCCCCATATCTATATAAAAAACTATACAGCATTATTTAATTTAATGTCCTTAACAAGATTTTATAATATTTGTTTTAAAGTTATATGACTATATGAAGCACGCAGTATCTGGTCACCCACACAGGGATATCCCTAATGGGGGGTAGCGTCTGTATGACCATACCATATTTAGCCTGCCTTTTTAGTAGCTAAATATCAACATATGGAATATTTTGCTATGCATTAGATAGTATAGTAAAAAATCTCCATAAAAACTTTCCTCAGAGTTAAAAAAAAATCGAATTGGTCCAGCTGTCTTCGAGTTGTGCCTAGCAACATATTTACGATGTATTTTTATTTATATAAAATTTAAATAATAGTAATTAAGAGAGCCTGCTAAAAATTGCATAGCAAAATGACATGGAAGTATCCTTTAAATCTTACAGGCGTTTAAAAAATAGCAGACAGTGTCTTAAAAAATGTGTTTGGTGTTATAAAAAATAACATCTGCAAGAAACATCAATTTGAGAGAGAAAATAGTTTATATTTATTTATTTATTGAAGTACACCACATCACATATAATGCATTGTCTTCACTCTACTACATTGTATATGTTACAAGCTATCTATTCGAAAATACATGTCAATTATGGTGAACATAAATTTTTCACAAAAAATTTGAATAAAAATTTTAGTTTTTACCAGTTTATTTTTGCTTAACAAGTTTCTAGGACAAATGTAGTTAAAATTACTTTTTAACCCAATCAAATTGCGAAAGATATAAATTTATTAAGTGATATATATAAATCTAATCAGTCAAACATCACATCATCTAGTACGCTAGGTGGCGCCAGATTCGCTCGAAGTCGTCGATTTCTATCATTTGGCGTGTACTAAGCCAAATTTGATTAAGAATATGATTTTTGACATACGGGATTCATTTTGCGTGCATTTAAATAAAAATTATCACAAAAATACGCACCAAATACTATTGAATCATAGGGTAATTTAAAACGATTACGACTGGTATTACTCTTAAATAAACGCTTTTATTAAAACTGAACATC